GTCTTCCTTCGGTTGGCTTCGCTGCACACTTTTAAAGAAGAAGCTCTGCACGTCACGCTCTGGGATCATGTCTTGACAGATCCCGGGCCCCTGATGGCGAGCCACTGTCCGTCCTGGCCAATTCAGCGCTTCTTCTCTTCGCCGAAACGCAGAGATCGATGCTGAGAGTAAGGTCATTGCAGATCGCATTGAAGCTGCGGTCCTGTGCAAAAGCAAGGCCGGCCTGGGCTCCAGCACTTAGAAGGTGTCACGGTGAAACCACTCTCGGCCTGACGGGCTGAGGCGCCGGCCACCGCAGCCATCTGGGCATTGCTGACCGTCTCAAGGGCTGGCCTTCGGAATGGCCGCCCGCTAAGTCTTACGCTGCTCGGAGCCCTGGGTGAACTCGAGGCAGCGGCTCCAGGATGCGAACCTGCAGGTCTGTTGGGGGAGCTCAGCTCTCGCAGTTCTCGCAGCTCTCTGTTTCCTGGGCCTTCGTCATCTGTTGGACGTCCCACAAGGCCCCGGCTCCTCCCCGACCTGCAGCTTTGCTGGGAAGCCCAGTCGGTCTCCTTGCTCCCATTCCACCGATTGTCGGGAACCAAGGTGGGCACCAGCTGCGGCGAACCAATTCCCATCCACCGAGAAAGCGATTGCCTAAGCACAAGGGATCACAGGGGCAGTTATGCTACGGACGACGCTTACGAGCCTACGGACCTCGCCGGTCGCGACCAGCCCATGCTTGACATGCCCTGTGATGAAACCTACTCGAGGCTCTGGGTCTTGGAGTTGGAGCCTTCGGCCACCTACCTGACCTAACCGGACAACCAAAAGGTCCCCGACGAGCACAGCCATGTTCTTGCCGATTCCTTGCTCCTGTCAGGCTGGCATGCTTCATTTCCAGCTGCGGGCGTTGCTGGTTGAGGGTGCCGGGCTTTATGCACAGGGAGTCGTTTTGACACTCACACTCGGACAAAGCCAGGCAAGGTCTGCATACAATCCTTCGCGCATAAGCACACAAGGTTTAGGGCTTAGAGCCAGGGTCCCTAAATCCTATCAAACCCTAAGGTTGTTAAGTTTCGAAACTGTTCGGAGACCTTCGAGCGGCCTTCTTCCTAGCCCTGCGTCACCCACTGTGACAATACCATGTCTGTCCAGCCCAATTAAGAGGGCCAAAATGATTACCAATATTAAGGGTTCCTTTTTTACATTTTGAAGATAACCGGTGCTTCAGCTCACATTTCCCTCCGTTAACAGCTGCCTCTGGCCGGCAGAACAATCAGACCCGAGTGACGCTACAGGACGCTATCACCTCACGGATGTCCTCACGGAAGGTGTGCATCGGCATCGCGCTGCTCGTCCTGCCTGCACCACCCGCATGGCTGCAAAGCCAGAACCGCTCGCGCGAGCCTCGAGCTCTTTAGATCTCCTTTCGGACTTTTCTTCGGCTCATCATCTGATTCGAGCGTGCGCGTGGCGGCAGCTGCGTGCAGCTCGCATTAGCTCGCAAGATCTTTACGATCTGTGAATTCGTTTGCGCATGGCAAGTGTCTCCTAAATCGCACTGCCACGGAATGAACCGCACATTCACCGGAGAAGCCACGGGCGTTCGCGGCTTGGCCGCCACGCAGCAAGCATCCCCAAGTGCCTGGCGATCTCAAAAAGTAGGAACGAACAATGCCTTTACGATGAACACCTACAAAGGACCTACTGCGGCCCTGTCGCACCGGCACAACGGGCCCTCATCCCACCCTCTAAATCAAAAACTTCTCTTTCGGGCAATTTCAGCCCTTGGCTACTACTACGACATCTGATCATGCAACGAGGGGTCGCCGTTTCTTTGGAAACAGCTTGCCCATCATACAACAGACTCAAAACGTCCCGGTGCGTGTGCTTCTTGCTCGGGTGCCTTGTCCTCAACGGAGGCGTCGATGTCTTGGCTCTCCTGTTGAGCTGGCGCTGGATCCGACGGTGTCTTGCCTTCACTGATGTAGCCGACCTCCCGACGAGAGATGTAGCGGAAGACCATGGTGATCAGCACGCCATCAATGAGGAGAAACAAGCTGTACAGCAAAGGGAAAACCGACACGGCACTGAAGGTCTCGGGATCTGGGAAGGAGAATGCGAGGATTGCTAACGCAAGGGTACTGTTCTGCAGACCTGTCTCCAGGCTAATCGTCCGACATGCACTAGGAGGCAATCTGGCCAGGAGGGCGTTGGTATATCCCATAATGCCTCCGATCGGCATGAGGACTGCACTGGCAAACCATAGCTTCCAACTCTCGGCGAAGACATGCAGGTTCGTGGCGACCCCCGCAACTAAGGCAGCCAAAATAAAAAGCATGCCTATCACGGAAGCCACCTTTTCAATGACGTTCGCTCCCCTGCTGCTAAAATATCTGACTGCCATGCCGATCCCAACGGGAAGGATCACCTCAGTTTATGGGTTCATTGGCTGTCAGTACCATGTGCATGCCTCGATGTGCATCGGCCCTGTGCCACGGAGAGCCGGTACTCGACTTAACGGTATCCCTGAAGCTGAAACTACTGTACCCGTCTCACGAAACAGCGCGGCAACTGAGACTCTGACGACTACAAGTGGCGGTACCAAGCTGCTAAAGGGGATTCGAAGGTGCTCGTCAGTAAAGGGCGGGCTGTAGACCAGCAGACAGAGCGGCAAAAGGCCGATTGAAAGCAATGTCGAGAGGCTCGTGGCAATGATTGACAAAGGGAGGTCGCCGCGGGAGTAGTACGCAAAAAGGTTGCTCGTGGATCCTCCCGGAGAGCAGCCCACGACCAGCATAGATATGCCTTGCTCTTTGGTCACTCCTAAGCCAATGGCAAGCGCGAAGGAGATCAAAGGCATGAAGACAAACTGGCAGAGGACCGCAACCAACGGCGCCTTCCAAACTTTCCGAGCCTGACGGAAATCGGCCGGTGTCAGTGTCGCTCCCAAGCCGAGCATTAGAAGAATGACGACGATCGCGAAGATCAGCTGCAGGGGATCCATCGTCCGCACCCTGGGGCCTAAGGCTTTGGCCCGAGGTCCCCAAGTGGCTGCAGCGAGTGGAGATGAGGCTACCCTGCCGAGCCAAGGCCCCACGTCGAAACGATGTTCCAATTCGACAGCACAACGCCGGGGGGCAAAGCTACGTCACGTATCGATGCGCCTAACATTTTGTCATGACATACAACAAAGATGCAGCCATCGCTACCTGCAGCCAGCAGGTCCGCTAGGCCAAACCACGTGATGAGATCCTGACACTGAAGACACTGCAGGCCCTGTTTTGCGACGGCTTGGCCACTGAGGCAACTCGGGCTCGTGCGTCGTCGCCACCGGTTGCCAGCATGATGCCCGAGCCTCTGGCAGACTCTAGCCGGCTTCATCGTTTGAAACACTTGTCGCAAGTCCCCACCTGCTGGCCTCCATAACGAGTGTGCTTTCAACTAAACTCTGGTGAACCCGGCCTGTCCCCACTGAGAAGGCCAGAGAAAGCACAGCGCCACTGTGCACCGAGACCTTCCATGGTCACCATTGGACGAAGAAGCTACAAGAGCAAGGCCCCTCAGAAGCCTAACCACTGACTGCCGTTCACAGCTGTAGAAGAATTGCTTCAACTGCTGATTCAATGTTCAACTCGGTTTGGAAGCCGGCTCCATGGCACGACGCGGTTACTGGGCTGCTTCATCCCTGTGTACCGTGTGACCTGTGTCTTTGCACGCGCGCATTGAAGCATCCGATGTCGTCTTAAGTTTAGTGTAACTGAGCGAAAGGAAGGCTTGTTCGGGCACGCCTATTCGTCGCCCTCCTTGGAGGATCTTACTGACTCTACAAGGGCATCTTGGCAGGCGTCGCGGGAGTGATCTCGGAAATACGGATGCGGCAATGCCATGTACACTCTCTTTCAGTGATGGGTTTTATGGGCACAATAGCCAACGAGAAACTAGGACCGCCAACGTCGAGTGGAGGCTTCGAGACATGGCTCCAGCGTGCTCTTCTGCAAAGCGCCTTGTTTTGAACCCGTGCTGAGGCCGAGGCGTGTGACGGGAAGGGCATACACTCGCGCTGTCGTGGCCAGCCGAGCAAACCCGGGAGCACAACGCGACTGTCTGTCGACTAAGACTACTCAAACTGACGTGGAACACACTTAATGCTGTGGTAGCTGGAAACTCAGGTACTGGAACGCATCCAGACATCCAGATATCCGGATCTGAAAGTACCTTCAGCAGCATAAAGCAGACTGACGGTGCTAATGTACAAAAGTCAGACTGCAACAAAATTCACAGCAAGCGCAACTGGAACTGGAACAGCTCCGGAAGGGCTCTCGAAACCTCCGGAAGACGCAAAGAACAACATCGGCAAATGAGCCACTCGTCGCTCTTCTTCAAATTTCCTTGGTTTGAGGGCTCAGATCGCCTGCGGCTTCGAACGTCTCAGATATCTTGTCCTTACGCTCAAAGCAGCTTGCAATGTCACAGCAAGCTTTGCTCGTTTGTCTGGTCCACACATCTACAAATCCCGTGGCGTAGAGAAAGGCGAAAGAACCGCCCAACTGCACCGACATCTTGGTGATTAGCGTGAGTTCCCACAGAGAGCGGAGGTGCGTAAAGACGGTAATCCATGTTCCAACCACGGCGACTGCAGTAAGCAACTGCATATTGATCTGATGAGCACGCACATAATCCATCTGCTTCCACGAGCCTCCGGCGCACAAGCGACCAGTGAACAGCAGCAAATTGGTGGCATCGAAGGTGATGGCCCAAAATGGTCGGATCAAGTACTCGATGCTCTGTTCCCAACGCGGGCTGTAGGCCTCCAACGACATGATGTTGCCAACCAAATGGCGAGCCATCACACCAAAACCATACAGCAAACCTAGGACATGCACCACGATCATCAGCGATGTGTACTTTCGCCACGACGGCTTGATGCAGAGCATGGCATTGAGCACCGCGAAGACATTGAACAGCCCGAACCAAGGCATCAGAATCACATACTCCTCCATGTTGAGGTCCTGATG